TGATTTCACCGCCTGCCTTGTAAGCCCAGGGGCCCAAGTTTGATCCCCAGTACCAAAAAAAAAGAAAGAAAAAAAGAAATTCAAATGGTCAAATTGTGTACTAAAAAATATTCAACATTTCTGGCCATCAGAAAAATGCAAATTAAAACTAAGTTTTAAAAAAAGGTGCTATTTACACACCATGGAATACTACTCCACCATTAAAGGAAGTCATTTGTAGAAAAACTCACTAAATTATTTATAGGAAAATGTATGTACCTTGAGAGCATAATGTTAAATAAGGTAAATCAGACACATAAGCTTAAATATCACATGGTCTCTCTTATATGAGAAACTCAAAGTATAAACAAAGAGCAAACTAAAAGACAGATGATAGAAAGCAGGGAGACAGATCTTACTCAAGAGAGAAGGGGATAAAGAGATGGAGGGAGAAGGAAAGGAGGGGAGAAAAAAGGGATAAAAGATGCATTATGTACATTATGCATTATAAATGTAAAAAAAAGGAAGGGGACTAAGATGGATGGAAGGAAAGGGGGATTTTAAAAAAGAAATTAAGATGTATTATATACACGTACCAGTTTCCCATAGGAATATAAACACGTACTACATTAAGCTCCCATCTCACTGTAGTTAGAATCGCTATCATCAAGAGTACAAAAACAAAAATGAATTCTCGCAAAGATGGGGGTGGCATGTTCACTCTTGGTAAAAATGTAAACTAGTACAACCATTAGAGGATCTGTGTGGAGATTCCTCAAAAGAGTAAACATACAAACACTGAACTGGGCATGTTAGCACACACTATAACTCCAGCACTCGGGAAGTTGAGGCAGGAAGATTGCTATGAATTTGAGGCCAGCCTGGGCTACATAGTGAGTTCCAGGCCAACCTCAATTACAGAGTAAGACACTGTCTCAAACCAAAAAGAAAGAACTACAGTTATACCACTATTGAGTACATTCCTAAAAGAACTAAAGACTGCCTGCTATAATGATACATACATATCCATATTTATAGCAGCATAATTCACAATAGCTGAGCTATTTTTGTTTATATGAAAAACCTAAAAAAATACATAAATTAACAAATAATTAAAGGTGAGAAGACAGGAAATCAGGAGTCAATTTCTGGAGTTGGAGAGGGGGATAAGTAGGAGAAGCACATAATAGGATTGAATTTGATTAAGAAATACAAAATAAACCCCATCATCACATAATACCAACATGCACTCATAGAAAAACTCAGTAAGAAAACAAAGAACTTCATTAAAAAAATGGGCCAAAAACTCTGACACCCCACCTAAGCTATCAAGATGGCAAGTAAGCATATGAAAAAATGCTCACCATCAGGTCAAGGAAATGCTAATCAACACGGCAAAGAGATCTAATTACACACCTATTAGGTGGACAAAATCCAGAACAAATACTGCTGAGGACACAGAGTAACAGGGACTATAACTCACTGCTGACTTGGATGCAAAAGGGTACACACATTTTGGAAGACAGTGTGGCAACTGCTCACAAAACTCAATATTACTCCCTTTTATCTAATCCAGCAATGATACTCCTTAGGATTTAGCCAAAGAAGCTGAAAACTTAAGTCCATACCAAAAACTATAGGTGGCCATTTACAGCAGCTTTTAACACAAGTGCCAAAACTTGGAAGCAACTAATATACACTTCAGTAGTTCAATGTATAAACTGATACATTTAGACAATGGAATATTATTCAAAGACAAAAAGAAACTATCAAGCCATAAATAGATGTGGAGAAACCTTAAATGCACACCACTACATGAACAAAACTAATATTGTATGATTACAACTACTGGAACATGACATCCTGAAGAAAGCAAAACTATGAACACAGTAAAAGGATTAGTAGTAATTGTCAGGGGCAAGCAGGTAAAAGAGACCAACAGAAAAAGCACAGAGGATTTTTGAGACAGCAGAGAAATATGTGTGTGTGCATTTTATACATAGATGCTGTAGCATTTCTAGCAATCAGATTTGAAGTAAAAAGACAGAAATTTTTACCTCTTAAAATAGCACTGAAAATAAAACCACACAGTATATTAAAAAAAAAGTGATAGCATAAGAGACCATTAAAATGGAGAGGTGATAGCTACGAGGCAAGATAAAAAAAATATAGTGAAGTTGTTTGTTTTGTTTCGTGCAATTTGTCTGTGAGCTACAGTTGACAAGGTGTGTTGTGAAGTGTGCCATAAATCATAGACCCTACACAGCTTATTTCACTGGATGTGCACCATAGTGCTGCTTCGGGTTCTAGCTTAAGAAATGTCCTCACTAGAGAGGAAATGTGATTATGACCCTGGACAGGGTTCAGCCAGTTCTCTCACCTCGTGAATAAAACACCTCAAGCATGATCCAGCATCAAGGTGATGTAGACTGTCTTTCTCACCTTGATAGAACTGTTCCAGCCAAGTTTGTACCCAGGAAAACCAAGTAAACTCTGATTACTATAACTACTTATTATTTAAGAAATGATGTGCTCACTGCACCTGCCTCACAAGTGCCAGGTCCTGAGTTCAATCCCCAGTACCAAAAAAAAAAAAAAAATTAGGGAGGAGAGGGGAGGAAGTTGCTGCTGAAGTTGTTATAAGGTGCGCTCACTTCAGCAGCACATATACTAAAACTGAAGTTGTTATAAGGTTTAAGTATGCCGAAGACATGAAAACCAAGAGAAGAGGGTCAAGAATTACCTCATTGAAATATGGACTATTTATTTTGGAAAGTGAAGGATTCTGAGGAATAGGGTATTGTGATACCCACCCTATTCAAATATGAAAACATTTTAGATAATAAAATGAAAAAAGGAAATAAGATTAACATCCAACAGTCTCCATTCACAAAGGCACTACACTGATCTCTAAACCTTACCACACAGAATCTTACATAAATCATGATCAGACCTGACAGCAGGACATCCTGAAAGGGCTTCAGAACTGTCTCCTCACTCATCAGAGAACCTCTGAGGAGCCGAGCAGAAGAAAGCTAAATGAAGTGAGCTGACACACTGTGAGTGCATCTGTGCGATGGGGAGGAGGCAGCTCCAGTCACAGCTGTTGGGTGTCCTCTGTGTCACTAAGTTGAAAGCAACTCCAAATAAAAGGGGAAAAGGAGAAAGGCGAGATGATAAAGAGCCACCTCGTGGCTTGCATCTACACGTCCCTCCAGAGGTCATGGGGTCATGGTGGAGCTTTTCTTTGGAGGTGCCTGGATCTGGGGAGTGCGGTGCAAGATAAAGGGGGCACTACCCTTGGTATGGGTGGCATCACCCAAAGGGCAGTAGCCTGGATGAAATACAAAGGCAGGCCTGGTTGCTGCTGTTACTGCTCACTGCTTTGCTGCCTCCTGGCTGCTGTGCCATGCTGCTGCCTAGGACCCAGCTGACTAAGAAACCTCTACAAACCATGAGCCAAATAAACCTTTCCTCCTAACTTTGGGTGTTGGGTATTTTGTCTCAGCAATGAAAAAAATAACTAAGACAGCCACCTTTTCCTCTACTCTTTCCCCAATTCTTTATTTTTCTACTAGTGACAATGTCTCCCTGATTTACCATGCTGTAGAAAAGCTAAGTTTGAACTAAAAATTACTATTACTATTTTTTTAAAAAGAGAGAAAAAAAATCTCTTGCTATCTAATAAATTCTATGAATACTTCAAAAAATTACTATTAAGCTATTATAATTTTATTAGCATCATGCTGTAATCAGGTGAGCCAACTGGGAGAGAAACTTGCATAACTAAAAAGCTTAGGACAAAGGACAATATTTAATCCCTATTTAGTTTTATTCAGATCAAACATTTTAATCTTAATAATATTACATATCATTAAACAGATTACAAAGATGAACACAAACTAGCAATGTATTCAGGGTTATATAAGACTTCACTGACATCAGAAAAAAAACTACTTGACAATGTAACACAGTAAGTCTTCAATGTATGGAAGAGTTCTGTTCCGGGAGAACATTTATAGTCAGACTGGTAGTCCCACAAAGTGAGTCTTATACTGCTTTTCCTCTCACTTCCGGACACCCAGGCGCTGACTGAGCACTGCCCTGCTGTGCACTGTCGCACTGTGCAGTGAGCACACAGCAGCACAGCTGTGACACTGGCTGCAGGCACAGGAGAGAACTTCCGAGATTCATTCCCATCTATAAATATTTGTAATGCCAGGTCTATTCCTATCAAAGTTAACAACTGGAATGCTTATAAGCATATGTAAAAATATAGGGACCTGAGTACTAAATGGACTTCAAAAATGAAAACAGGACCAGGAAGAATTATCCTCTGAAAGTGAAGTCAATGAGAACCCATGATGATTGTATTATTATTTTTTTGTTTTGTTTTTTGGGGTTTTTTTTTTTTTTGGTTTTTTGAGACAGGGTTTCACTATGTAATGAGGCTGATCTGGAACTCACTATGTAGCCCAGGCTGGTCTTGAATGAACAGTGATCCTCCTGCCTCAGCCTCCCATGTGCTGGGATTACAGGTGTGCGCCACCATACCCGGCTTGATAGTATTATTTTTAAGTCATCCTACAGTACAATTTGAAAGCAGCTTCCTTAAGGTGATTCAAGAATGTTTAACATTCAAAGGCATGAGCGGAAACATTTCAAAGGTATGTTATGCCTATTTAATTTGTTTTTAAATGGCAAATTTTACCATAGATTTGAAGACTTTTACAAATATTTGTTTTGTTAGTACATGTTTCTAATGTAGAACAGTGATGTTCACTAGGACATTTTCTAAATCAGCAGAGATACTCACTCGTCCCTACTAACCATGAAAAAGAATCCTTGAAGTCCAGTGAATCTCAGCAATCACAAACTGATATTATTAATTTTCAAGGAAAAAAGGCTAAGCATATTTATACCTATCTGATATCAGAGTCAATAAGCAGAAAATGCAATCAAGGCTCAAGCAGACAAAAATAAATTAGCATGCAAATTATAAATTGCACTAATCAGCTTACCTTGTAATTTTTTCAAAACAGCAACCTCCATTTTCAGAACTTGCTTTGGTTGTTGGGCTGATTCCACCTTCAGTGCGACATTTTCCCTGGTGAGCATGTCCAAGGCATCGTAAATTTCTCCAAAGCCCCCACCCCCAATCTTTCTCAACTGCACAGAAAATAAGAACACACTCAAAATTATGAGAAGACTCTACATGAGAATCAATTCACTTCTCACATAACATAATTTTATTATCCCTGCTTTTTTTTCAGTACTAAAGATCAAATCAAAGTGCACTTTACCACAAAGCTACCACCTCAGCCCATTTTTGTTTTTTTTGTTTTTTTTGGTACCAGGGATGATCTCAGGACCTTGCACTTGCCAAGTAGGTGCTGTGTCACTGAACTAAATCCCTGGCCTTCCCTTTGTTTGTTTGTTTGTTTATTTGACACTGGGGATCGAACTCAGGTCCTCGTACTTTCGAGGAACCACTGAGCTAAATCTCCAGTTCCTCCTTTTATTTCCAAGACAGGTTCTTACTAAACTACCAAGGTGGGACTCAAATTTGCAATCCTCCTGCTGGGATTATAGGCATGCACCATTAAACCCAGCGTATTATTCCTATTTTATAATAAAATATTTCAGGAGCCATCATGGTAGTACACACCTGTAACCCCAGCACTCGGGATACTGAGGATCACTGTGAGTTCAAGACCAGCCTGAACTGCATAGCAAGCCCTTGACTCAAAAAACCAAAACCAGCCAGGGATTTGGCTCAGTGGTTCTGCCACCTGCCTCATAAGTGCAAGGGCCCGAGTTCGATCCCTGGTACCAAAAACAAAACAAATAAATTAAATAAAATATTTCAACACTGTTAAATTAACTGTGTATATGGCAAGAAGTAAACAAATGCCTGGGAATAACATCAAATTTTTCCCACAAGTCTATCCATAAAAAGTAATGAGATTATTTTAGTCACATGCAATTTTTTTTTTTTTTTTTTTTTT